AGTATATTAGTGCAAATTGTGGTGCTGTGTTTACAAAGACTCAATCATTAGTGGACTTACATACACCGTGCTTCCCCACTGGGCTTTAAGAAAGAATCAAGGAATCAAAAAACACTAACCCAAACTGCTTCCTATGGACAGCTAAATCCAGCACAGAAATAACACAACAAGTCCTCGAGTCTATACATCACAGCAGAATAGCTTTCCAGATCATTTTCTGAGAACGTTTTCCAATTTGCCTACCTAGAGTGCTGCCACGTAGATTTAATACAACTAAAATTCATTTTTCCATCTGTTTTCACGCTGCCATTACCCCAAAGCTCTTCTCTCATCCCAAGGAGATTGTGCACAGCAAACATTCCAGGGGCTGATGGTGAGCACAGCCCCATTTTCTTCTGAAGATAACGCTTAAGCAACTCAAAGTATTCTTTCTTCTCCCCACGTATGACTTATGTACGATGGCTGGTTTCCAAATCATAAATCAGTAACTTCTGCAGCCTGTTATTCCTCCGCATGTCACGGGGAATAGAGCTGAGCACAGCATTTTGCAGCCAACCCTTTTCCAAGGAAAACAGAAATCCGACGCGAGCTCCCAGCGCCCGACGCATCGCTCGTGGTCACCGCTCATCTCCAGCCATGGTAAGGATGGAATACGTGGAGGCCACGTTTGTGCCCACAAGGAGTCAGGAAACACTGCAGGGGAGACAACGAGAGCTCCATGCTGTGTTAGAAAGTTCCTTTTCTGTTAGGTGCTTCTGCTCTGTTTTCCCTATGTGACACTGCTGGGATTTGAAGCAGTGCGCAGAAATCCCGAGTGTCCAAGATGCTTTAAAATACTGCAGGTTGCTAAGCATGGCTACAGTCATTTCACAGGGCAAATTCACTGTGTCACCACATCCTGCATCAAATTCATGGATCCTTGGTTTTTTGGTGGTGCTTTGTTGTTTTTTGTTTGTTTTTTTAACTCACTCCCACTGCAATGAACAAACTGCCACAACATCCACGATTCAGCCAGGACTTCATTTTCCACGAGGAGTTTAGAATGGCCTGGATTGAAATGGTCTGCAATGCTCATCCAGTTCCAAACCCCCTGCTGTGTGCAGGTCACCAACCAGCAGCCCAGGCTGCCCAGAGCCACATCCAGCCTGGCCCTGAATGTCTGCAGGGATGGGGCATCCACAGCCTCCTTGGGCAGCCTGTTCCAGTGTGTAAAAACCTATCTACCTCTAGAAATACTTGCAGAGCTCTGGATGACTGAGCAAACATTTTGCAGGACGTGTTATCTTTATGAAATTAAGTTTTCCTATGTGAGTTGGCTGGGACATGAAACTCACCAGGTACCATGCCAGAAAACAGACTTTGCTCAACACCTGAGCACAAGCCAGTTGACTGCGCTCCAAGCCTCTTTTTTCTTTCATTTCAACCTCAGTTCCCCATCAATTTTTAAAACAATAAAAGGATGTCCTCAAAATTGACATTTGGCTGCTGCAATGTAGAAAACGAGGCAGAACCTGAAGCGGCAATGCCTGCGGGATGGCAGGCTATAGGACCTGTCAAACTTTGCAAAGTATTGGCTGAAAACAGGAAGAGGAGGGTGGGGGTGAGCCAAAACAATGAGAATCAGGAGGCTGCCCATCCATCAGGACAACTGCCAGAAATCTGAATAGCAGAGGAGAGCTGCTCCAACACCAGGGGCTATGCGCACACCTTGCCTTACACTGGGGTCATGTCAGCTGGAGGGATGAGACCACGCTTTGTGGAAGAGCTAATCATACCTTCACTGTGCAAGGACCTTGGGAAAGCAGAATTCATCCTCCTGCCACATAGAGCAGGAGTGGTAAGGCCTGCAGGAGCAGCCCCAGAGCCACCAACAGCAGGGCTACAGCCCCGCGTCCCCGCTGACCCCCTCTTGTGGGACACATGGGAAGCGAAAACCACCCTGGCTCAATGCTGCAATGACAACCTTTACACCTGTGAATCATTATCCTCCTGAACACAAGCGTTTGCCTACACAAATATACCAGGATTTATGAGGTTGGGCTTCACCCAGTTAGTGTTGGTCTCTCTTGCATCTTCCTTCATCTGCTGAAGCACATTCCCATGCACCACAGATCATCACTGAGCCTTCCTCAGCTATCCAGAATGGGTGGTTTATTAAAAAAAAAGAATATGTAGGAAAGGAACATTAATAATTGTCTTCATTCAAGATAGAACTCCAACACATACCTTTTTTTTTTTTGTCTTCTCCTCCTGTTTTACTACAAACAGTGTGCAGAGATGTGTTATTCTCACTCACAAGGTCGTCTTGAGAATCAGGAGCTGCGTGCTGCAGAGATCTTTGCATCTGCCTCAGCACACAGCAGCAGAGCAGCTGTGTTTTTGGGAGGCACCAGGCTGCAGGCAGACAGACCGTGGCTGTTTGCAAACAGCTGGAAATAGCATTGTCTTTAGATAGAAAGGTTTTTTTGTGAAGTGCATTAGAAATCACTAGGAGTCATGGAAGACAAAAAAGAAAATACGGTTAAAACAATCCTGTGCCTGTGCTAAACCACTTTGTGGTAGGGTCTCTGGTTTCCATAACATAAGCAGTATGTCATAGCAACAATTACATCAGTGCTAAATGCCATTCCTGCACACAAATTCTACTACGACTCGCAGAAAATCCTTGGTGCCAACTTGAATTTGTCCTTCCTTCTAGCAGAAATTTCTAAATAGCTCAGCAATGTTGTCTGCTGCCTTCCTGAGAATCTGAGAAGTCCATCTCTGGAAGCAGAGAACATCAGCACATCACCAACAACCCCATTTGTTTCTCAGCACAGGAAGACACCAAAACAAACTCAGGTATTTGCCACTCAAAGTAATGCAACTATTTTGCTGCCCTGAAACACAACGTGTACTACCCAGTGTCCATCTGCAGACTGGCAATGATTATTAAAAGCAGATTGGGCCAACTAGGAATGAAGGACATTCTTAATGTCCAAAATCTGCATGTGCATCACCAGCTGTCTTCTCATCAAATCAAATCATTCTCCTACTTGCAGCAGATAACCCCAAGGAGAACAAGAGAAAATGATTAGACTGTGCAAGTCAATCAAGAGTTAGCACTTGTAGGGTATTTACTTACACTTGCAGAAAACAAAATATGAAGAGAAGAGTGTATTCCCACTGGCTGAGACTGCAAACAAATATTTTCTGCCTTGATGATGTGTTCAAGCATTAAGAATTGGAATTGAGCACTTTGGAATCAGATGCCTCCAAAACTGCTCTTCTTATCCATACTGAAAACATAGATGCGAATGACTTCATGCACTTGACAGGTTTATAGCAGCAACCTAATTAGGTCATTGGTTATAAGCTGGCCCATGGAGAATTACAGCACATTCCTTTCATCAAACTGCCTTCATCAGGAGCTCTGATGGAACATTTCAGGCCCAAGCAGGAGCACTGACCTGCCAAGAAGCCTCAGCCCAGCACAGAATTCCCTTTGGGATGATGACATCTCACCCAGGTGCCATCTTCCCCCACGCCCCCCCAAAAACCCCTCTACAAAGTCTATCAGCTACCTTTAGAGGAAAAAAAGAGCTATGCTGGTTCGACAGTCGTCTTCCAGTTTGCCCTTTTGTTGTGGATAACTGCAAAACCACCCTATTTCCCAGAAACACAGCCTTGTTTTTCCCCACTGACTTCTTACAGTATCTATTGAAGGGTGCTTCAGAATACAAAGAACCAGTTACAAAACAGAAATAAAGCATTCAGCAGCCCAGCACCATCTCCTTGATGTGGACAGCAAAGAGAGGAGGGTCAAAGTGCAGCAAACACCCTGCAAATGTTCCATCAGGGCTACATTGCTTATTTTTGCCCATCCTTTGTGCCCACCCCTTTTCAGATCTCTCGCAGTACTTACTAACAGATAGCTAGTAAGTACTGATAGATAACAGAGAGGCCCAAACCAAAGCTATCAGAGTTTCTGGGCAGGGCCAGTTTAATGTTCTGATCTCAGCTGGACTCAGGCTGCAGAGTGCAGCTCATCAAATACCAGCCCGACGGAAACTAACGATAAGGAGGATTCCATCGACCTCACCCAAAGAAGGATTCCACAGAATCAGGGCATGCAGACTGGCATAGAAAAAAAAAAAAAAAAAAAAAGCATTTTGAAGGTCCAGGGCATATTTAAATTTACCTCTACATACTTACATATAGATATTTTTAATTCTTTCATAGGCATTCACTCTCAGTCCCTGTCATAGATGGGGAACCATGGGAAACAGACAGCCTTTAATGCAGCCCAACTGCACGCCGTGCATTCACAACAAGGCATGTGTTTCAGCAGTTGATGTGTCCTGCTTGTTATTACACAATAAATGATGTTTGGCAAAGCCTCCTCCCACTCTGTGAAGAAACCATGCCATTCTGTAGCACGTTACCTGTTAAATTATAGCCTGTACTTCTGCCATCTCTCCTACAGCACATTAATCGGAGGCTGGAAGGCAACACCCAGTCTTAACAAACCTAAAACAAAGCTTAAAGTTCAACCCTCCTAACATGTCTCTGCTATCACAAGTCACAAGGATCAAGCTGAACCTTCCAGAATGTGTTCCACTTTCAAGAGAATCAGAAAAATAACATACGTGGTATTGAACCACATAGCAGTGAGTCCAGAGAAATGCAAGACAGAAATTGGATGCTGATGAATCCTCAGAGCATATGTTAAGGGGACAACAGTTAAGGTCCTGGTGATGCCTGAGGATATCTGTATCCCCAATTCAACAAGGGGCTTGGAAAGCAAGAGTTATTTCAGAACAGCAAGTCTCTGGATTTTATCTTATTGGCAGCAGTAACAGCAATAAGTAGCAATGACAAATAGAAAGTAAATATGAATAATTCCAGGTACATTTTTTAGCACAAAGGAATTAAGGGGACATTTGAAGAACTCTGGGTCCATCAGTCCCACAAATCCATGAGTACACTCATCGTATGATAGCAAATATTTACAGGCCCACCTGTTCCAGCTTAAAGATGTGTTGGTTGAAGTAGTGCTGTAAGCGTTCATTGGCAAAGTTAATGCAGAACTGTTCAAAACTGTTGTTTTCATAGTCCTCAAACCCAAAAATATCGAGTACTCCGATGGATAAAGTCTGCAAGAAAAGTGAGAATGCAGATTAGCATAAAAATAAAAAGCCAGTGGATTATTTCTACGCTGAGTACAATCAAAAGCAAACAAAGAGAATTAAATAAGCTTAATATTGGGGTTTAATTTTTACTGGGACTGCTAATATTATGCCATCTGGAAGGCTTCACCTACTTCAGAGGGATGAAATGTAACTTCAGACGTCTGGACAGATGGCCTTTTTCTAAATAAAAGTCCTCTCAGAGTATTTTGGCTATTTTTATTATTTATAGAGAAATTGCCATCTTCGAAGAAATCCGAACCCAGCTCCAAGTTATTCCATTGGGCCTAATATAGCAGTCTGGGGGAAAAACAAGGGTAGGGCTGGAAAAGAAGCTAGCATCACAAAAACAAAACACTGAAACACTGGTAGAAAGCAGATACAAGCAAAGCAAACTCAGTCCAGCTGTAAGCCTCCCAATGCAACACCTGCACGGCAGGAGGTTGAACAGAAACAAAGCATCGCAGTGAAGGAAAATACAGCAGGTCAGCAGTTGAAAAGCATCAGAACCTAAATATGGACAGAAAAAACATCCCATAGTGAGAAGTGTGGCCCAGACCACGCTCGTGGTGGGATGGTGTCTCCCAACATCCAACAGGGTAAAAAGGACCTGACATAGGTACAATTCCTGCTGCAACAACCAGGCCTGCTCCGTCAAACAAGTAATTAATCATCAGCTACAAACAAAGCTCAGCCCGTGTCCATCTAGCAAGTCTCTGGCCAGGATGCACGCATGGGGCCCTCCACCAGCTCAGGCTTCCACATCTCACCGACATCCCACTTAGGTGAAGAGCTCTGTTCATACATCCCAACTACACCAAACAGCACAAGAGGTAACAGCATCAGAGCTAGGCAAATGACCCAAAGCTCAGGCAAGGAGGGGAAATACCCCTCTGCTCCATCCATAGGAACACAGTGAGCTGCTGGGCACCGGGTTTTAATTGCACTGGTCTAACAAGGATTTTATCAAACCACCTTCTTAAGGCTATCACAACTCTGCTACCAGAAGCACAAACCAGATTACCATAGTGTTGTCTGTGCTGCAACTGGAACATTTTCACATTATTATGGCAGTAAAGCCTTCCTTCTGTGCTTGGCCCATAGGCAGAGGGCTACCCAAATCTGAAAGAGCTGCTGCTGCTGCAAGCTTTGTATAAGAGGGATTCTGGCAACGCTGGCGGTCATACAAGCAGAAGTACAACCCAAAAAGCACAGTGAGAGGCACACCAAGAGCTGCGAGCCTGTTTTTCCAAAAGGTCACTGGCCACTTTCTCCTCCTCTTGCCTGATGTTTGGGTTTTCCTCTCTATTCCAGCACCAGATGGCTGTACCTGCTATAAGGATGACAGCTGAGAGCCCCTGGGCAGCTTTCCAGCAGTTTGCATCACCTGGCAAGCCCTGAACAACAGCTGTTGGATGGGAGGTGGAACTGGAAGCTCCTGGAGCAAGGACAGAGCCTGGCAGAGCAATCTCCCCGGGCATCCCAATGATCTGTTCACAAAGCCATTCATTAAATCCCAGACTGAGAAGTAAAAACCATTGGTTTCATGATTTTATTTTTAATACCTTCATTAGCAATCGGCTCACTCACTTTATCTATGGGACATATGAAGATGGTAACAGAAACACCAGAGAGTGACCTAACCCTAATCAGAAGCACCATGCTGGCATTGCAAAGCACTTTCCTTCCAGGGGTGAATGCTTCAAACTAAGCACACAGCCTGCCACAACAGAACACGACACAGCTGAGTACAACCAACTTCCCCATTTCCAATGCTAGCAGTTACTGTGCCAAAACCACTACTGAAATACATTTTAATGGATCACAAAAAGCAGGCTCAGAGGCAAGAGGCACAGAACTCCAAAAACTCAGCACCTAACAACATCACTGCAGCTCTGTGAGACGAGCAGGGATAATTCTGCACGGGTCATTTTTCAGCAGTTCCCCCTTCTCATCTCACTTCCATTGCGCCCAACTCTGCCTCCAGAAAGCAAAATCTTGCAATGTGCTTTTGGATTCACTGAACGAGGGAAAGAAAGAGGTCAACATGTTGGAGTCCATCAGACTCTTAAGACAAGAAACTCAGATTTTTACGGCTGTTTCTGTGCCTTCCGACCTGCTGGCCTTCAAAAAATCTCACTGTACCTCTCATAAAAGGATCCTACTGGCTTTGCCAGCATAAAGCAGCTCAAGCCTTCTACCAGGAAAAAAAATATGTCTGTTGAGTTATGAGTAAGTGAAATTATTCTGTTAAGCTGCATGCAATCCGGCCAGCTATAGGATGAAGTTTACAGCACAGTATGTACTGAAAGTAATCAAATATCAAAGCTTAGAAATCTTCAACGCTTCGGTTTTTAATTCAGGCTTTGAATGAATGCTACCTGGAAACAACAACAAGATGTAGGATGATCTACATTTAATGAACCTGTGTATAGCTTACATCTTAATGTTGCTCCTCTACCCAAACCAATATTTAAAGACAAGTGTGCAGCAATGACAAGCCAGCAAGTGCCAGCTTGCTGCAGGACCAAGCAAGTTACTAGTGCAGCATCTTTAGAAGCACAGAATGGTTGCAAAGGAGCACAGTGCTCATCCAGTTCCAACCCCCTGCTGTGTGCAGGTCACCAACCAGCAGCCCAGGCTGCCCAGAGCCACATCCAGCCTGGCCTTGAATGCCTGCAGGGATGGGGCATCACAGCCTCCTTGGGCAGCCTGTTCCAGTGCCTCACCACCCTCTGGGGGAAAAACTTCCCCCTCATATCCAACCTAAACCTCCCCTGTGTCAGTTTAAAACCATTCCCCTTGTCCTATCACTATATACCCTCACAAAGAGCAGCTCCCCCTCCTGTTTATACACTCCCTTCAAATACCAGAAGGCCACAATGAGGGTCTCCCCAGAGCCTTCTCTTTTGCGAGCTAAACAGGCCTGGCTCCCTCAACCTTTCTTCATAGAAGAGGTGCCCCAGCCCTTTAGCAATCCATTCTTGGTATTTAAAAACATACATCAACGAAGATGTTGAAGTTTGTTGAGCCTCAGATTAGGAATCAGAGAGTATTTGAGGGAAAAAGCAGCCTCACACTTTCCTAAAATGCCACAGACATGAATCAGGGAGTTAAATGTCACGCAGGGGTCTTCAGGGCACTCAGCAAATGAGGGTCTCAAAGCTTGCCTGCTCTGCAACTCCCACAGTGCCCATAAACATTGGCTGTCAGAGCTGACTTATAGCACCCCAACGCATGTTGGTGATGTCATCCCACCACTGAGGCACGCTTTGGCAATCACAAAAGGGTTTGTTTCAGATTCTGGGGGGGAAAAAAAAAACGAAATGATATTCCAAACCAAGCCAGCGCTGTGAATATAAAGAACATCATCACCAATAAATCTTAAAGGATTATTCCAATCTGTATCACCACAACGTCCACGGTGACGTCTGACACAAAGTGGGAGGTGGGAATTTGCTACAGATTCTGAATCTGGGACATGAAAATGACGAACAGATGTGCACGAAGCCCAGTGAAGTGTTCAGCAGTTCTTCCTCTCTTTCAGGTCAGATAGCCAAGAATAATCTTAGTTGATGAATTAAATTATTTAGAGGCCGTGAATTCACACTGACCACGACAAACACTTAAGAACACCTCCGTTACAACAGGGTTATTCAGCAGAAAAGGAAGATGCTTCACAAAAACCACGTGGGAAAAGCTTAAAAACACCCTTGAAAGAGATTTCTTTCCTTCAAACATCATCTGCACTGCATCATCATTTTAAGCAGCAAGACGGACTTCTAACAATCCCTAACCTAATATAAGGAGGGGAAATTAAATAAAGGACTCTCTGAGGTTTAGTAATCGAGTTCTCACGAGGAGGAAACATCTCCGACCTCATTAATAAAGGTCAGATTTCAGACAGTTGTAGGGTATCACAAGAAGAACCGTTATCAGAACAGAAACTAAAAGCTCAACAGAGACGACCATCAGAAATGGAGAACACACCAGCAGCAACTCACAGCAAAACCCACACACAGCAGCACTGCTGGAAGCATGAAACAACTCCTATCAAATCACCATCCCAAACTCAGCTCAGAAACAACGTGCTGTGAATCCTGTCAGTGAGCGAGATAAGCCAAGTCCCACTGTGCTTTCCCAAAATAATTCACTGTACATTAACTATGCGTGGATATCAAAGGTCTGATTTACATCTTCCAAATACTAGCTTGAAAAACAGTGGAAGAATGGCAACCAAGGAGTTGTTTGCTTTACCTAGCTTCGTCTTTTGATCTTCTCCTCACTGCTGTTATCAAATAAACACACGTATTTGGATATGAAAAATCTCTCTGTTCCCATTGCCCCAAGTTCTCCTGAGGCCATAGACACTGTTAGGACCTGTGTCTTCTTCCAGCCTATCAACAAAGCAGTCCATCAGAATTCAGCCTGGCTTAAATGAAACCAATCAAACCCTGCAGCAAACGCAGCTCGCCCCAAGGAAGGCCCACATCTACCAGGTTTTGGCCAAGTCCTGCCCAAGTAGCTCTGCAACGCCATTTGCACAGCAAGAAGGCTTTGCTGGATGCAGAGAAGGTTTTTACAGCACACAGAGCAGAGTAAAGCAGGATCTCAGGTGCATACCCAATTCACAGATGTGCATTTGGAATATTTGCCTCCTCCAACCTCCGTCCTTCATTGTCAAAGCCCTGAGCTACAGAACCAGGCAGAATGTTAAGCAAGCCCCTGCAAAGCCCATGCAAGCTCAAATCAGGTGTTTTTATAGGACTGAAATCAGAATTTATGCTGACAATCACAATTTGCACCTTCACTTTTGACACCAACTTTAGGCACAGGTCTGCTCTCAACTTGCACTCTCAGTTATTTTACCTCTGCACAAGACTAAGTGCCACAAAAGACAGATCTCTGCCAAAAACCCATCACCTGACAACCTTCCAAACCTTCAAAAGCTGCAGGATTATTTGACAGTTTATCTTAAATGTCCAATTAACACTGGTGACAAGCATGGCCTGGGATAAAGCCAGTGCACTTGCTGCAGCATGAAGGGTACATCACCCACTGCCAACTCAGGAGGCAGCAGCCTTTCTGGGAAAAGTGCAAGATTACATTTTTCTTCCAAAACCAGAGATTAAATGTGTATTTTTGGGATACAGGCACATACCTGCACATATCCAAAGCAATGCTGCCATGTGAGCACTGACATCTTGCCTGCACTGACAGCTCTTTCCATGGGCTGGAGGTCTCATATACTGCAGCCAAACCCCAGGCACACATATGGGAGTAAGAAGTGCTACATCCCAATGCAGTGTTTTTCAGCCTGAGTCCTACCACAGGTTGAGATCGAGCTCACAGGTATCTACAGTTGTGCCCTGCTGCCACACAGAGCTCAAGCAAGTAGCAGTGTCCTAGACTGATTTAGTCTGTAAATATTACAGAGCACACACTATTTAAAAACAAATAAATAAATCATCTATTGCAGGTTATTAAAAAAATAAGCAGCGTTTGAGATGCATCTCCTTGTGAAAAGAAGTCCATTCTTTGTGTCTCACCAAGAACACAAGTGGCTTTTTCCCTGACAGCTCAGACAAAACTTTGATGACATACCAAAAATCAGGTAACATGTTCTGTAAAATAGTACACCAAGTGTGTGCAGGCAGGAGGCACACCGTATGTCACCAAACTCATCAGTAGTGTCACCAACCGCCTATTTAGAACAAGCTTTACAAAATGCCTTTATTTATAGCCTACAATCACGCTCCTCTAATCACCACAAGCATTTCTGTGCAGTTAACTATAGGAGCAGCTATGCTACAAACCGCTGCGACTTCCCTCAGTCCCCCAGTGTAATTCAAATGCAATGCTTAGCAATGCTATCAGCCTCTTGGCAGCTTCACACTGGTTGCACGATCCAGAAAAGAAATGATAAGAAAATAAAATGCTGCTGGCCTGCACCCAGTATTTCCAAGCCTGGTGTAGCTGGCGAGCTGCAGGCACGTGCATGCGTGGCCACGTTCGTACACGTATGCATGGAGAGCAGCCAGGGGTCAGCCCTGCCCTGAGCACAGCACAGGTTCTGGGGCAAGGGCTCAGAAAGGATGTCCCGGATCACCGTGTGCAGCCCCTGCTATCACAGGAAACCTCCTGCAATCCCTGCCATCAGTTCTTTGGGAAGCCGGCGAGGCACCGCGCTGACTTCACTCTTCCCGTCGCAGTGCTTTTCCAACCCTGCTCCCTGCTCCTCAGAGCTCTGTTATCCCCATATCTCCTACCACAACACGTTTCTCACTTTTTCAGAGTAACTTCACTGAATGACCTCATCAAAACATTTCCATACAGTGGGATTTCCAGCTTTTCCCTTAAATACGCGCTGCCCTACGGTCTTACATGAGGAGGAAGAAGGATTTGGCACTGCTCCTGGAGGGGTGTGGGCCCAGGATTTGTGACTGAAGCAAACCTTTTCCCCAGCCACTTGGAGGATACGTTACTGGAGGTGCTTCGCTTTCCTGGCTCAGCAAACACCACTTAAAATAACAAAGTACTTGGTCTGAAATATTAACAGCAATGTTCCACGAGGAGACGTTAACTTTATGCCGAGCAATTTAATGTTTTATCCCATAGTTACCCATTTTAAATCAGAAGTGTGCAGCCAAAATAGCTGGCAAGGCATTACCTTGGTGCTTTCCTCCATATCCTTTGAGTTCAGGAGCGCGTGGTTAATTCTGAAAACTATCCAGTCAAAGAGGGCACTGTACAATGATTTAGCCATGGAGTTCCGCACAGTCACAGCCTGAAAGGAAAAAAGAAAAAGGAATTGGAAACGATTCATGCTCTGCACTGAAACGTGCTTCACCTCTTAAGCAGCCACGTCCAATGGTCGTATTTTGCCCTTGCTAAAGCCTCTGCCTGCTGTTCTACTTTACATCCCCCAGCCACCAGGGGCTCCCAGCAGTCCCCACGCTGCTCTGCCAGGCCAGGCCACGAGCTGTGCCCCTGGACTTTGGCTTGACTCGCTGTGATGCACTCAAGTGGATGACACATGAGATCAAGCAATAAATCCCATGACCAGAAGCAAAAGGAAAAAATTTACATGGATTTAACTTCACTGATATCGCTGTGGAGTTTACTTCTCCTTCCAAGGGGAAGGCAAGAGGAGGGTGGATACTGTGTGGCAACCAGCAAGTTGATGGGCAAGCATGTGCTGAGGCAAGCAGTACATCTGAGATTTTTTGCTGTGTGTATCCACAACGCATCAGCTTTGCACAGGGAACTACACACCGGATCAGAAAGGAACGATTTATACTTCAGGGCTATCTCTGCACATGGCTCTTTGGTTTCTTGCCTTGAGTTGCTTCTGCACACACTGATAACCCAAAAAGCTTACAGTATCAGCAGCAACCATCAAGTTACTCTTGGGTTGGTTTTATAAGAAAAAACAAGGCAGCAGACTGTGTGTTCATACAGAACTATTTCAACAAAGCCTTGAACACACACCAGTGACTTTGTATACACCACAGTCAGAACCTCCTCACCAACATTCCCACCAACATACATGAGCTGCGTGGTCCCATGGCCCCAACCTGCAGCAAGAGTGAAGTCACGGAGCATCATTTATCTCTCACCAAAAGCTCCCTCCTTCCCCCTGAATATTTTGGGACAACATCTCTGAACGCGACTGCATGCATGCAGTTAAAACCAAGAACCATTTCTATATGAAGCCAATGAAGAACGGTACTGTTCCCTCCATATGCTTACAGATCTTACAATACTTTGAAGTTTTTGCCCCCTTCTACGACAGCGAGCCCCAGGAGAGCTGCTCTCCCTGTTCTGCTCCAGACCCAGGAAACCCTGCATAAGAAATTGCCCTGATCTCCCATTTCCAATAGTTATTTTAAGACACTACGGCTGCAGCTAAAGAGCTGGCAAAAGCAATTTCACAAAGCATGAGAGGCAAAGGATGTGCATGTACACATGGATCTCATTTGCAAACGTGCTGACTCCTTATAAGTCCATTTCTTCTCTTGCAGCTGTGCCACCCTTTGGGCTCACCGCAAAGCAGAGCGCAGACCTTCACACCCTGCATGAGAATCATTACAAGACACTTACACAGACATTATCTGCTGTATAGAACTCCAGCTTTTTACTTTTTTCCCCACTTCAATAGAGTATTCATGCTTCCTTCCTTCATTCTCCAGATCCTGCACGATGATACCTTACAGATAAAGTCCTCCAGCATCACAAGTACATACCCAACTGCACAGCAAGGGGATATTGCTTCTTCTCAAATTTAAGAAGCTACTGCAACTTCAAGGGCACGCCATCCCCCCCTCCCTCCCTGGAACGGCAGGGTGAGCACACTTGGGAAACAACTCTTCCAGCTTTTCTCTCCTTCATTTGAGGCCCTCATCTTGCAGATTAACATTTTCCTGATACACTTAGCAGTGGAATTTGCTTCCCTCCCAAGCACAGGTGCTCAGAAGTAAGTGGTGGCAGCATGCTCATGATGTGCAAGCATCGCAGCTGCAGCATTTTGCACTTTATTAGAAGAAGAGACGAACACACACGGCCTGCTGAAGGCAAAACACAGCTCTTAGCTCATGCCTATGCTAACTGGAGATGCCCTTTGAAACACATGGCGTGTATGACGTACGTTCTGTGTCCAGGCAGCCTTTTTTTTCCTTCTCACTTACAATCTAATTCCCCTGGAATCACTACCTTGTGATTTTACTTAGATTGTTAAACTCCCTAAAAAGCAAAGGCTTGCAGCAAACTCTCAGCTGCGCAGTGACACACGGAAGCTCTGCAGGCCGCTCTGCCACTTTCTTTGGTCTTTGCATTCAGCAAGGTAAGTGCTCTCACAAGGCTCCTCCAGGCAATGGTCCACCTCGAAGCTCCAGCTCAGTATTTTCAAGCAGCTGCTGTCATCTCCAGCTTCTCATCTCCTGCACGTCTCCTTATGTGACCGTTCTGGCAGATCCCCGACGCTGTGGCACTCATGAAATTCTCACACAAAGCCAAACAAAAATAGCTCATGCGATGCCAAAAAAAATCTCTGTGGGATCAAAGCAAGCACAACATCTTGTGCACACACGGAAATATCGCTTACTGATTCAAAACCAAAACAGATCAAACGCATTTGAACGCAGTGATGCAGGAAATAAACTCAAGGCAAGGTTTTAATCAATAAGTTTCCTGCATTTAGGACTAACAAGAAGAATATCTGATTAGAGGCACCGATGCTTAGATGTCAGAGATGACACTTGCTAGGGCTGGCCAACATGTGCTACAATATTTGGGTTTGCCCCTAACATTGCACTGCCAAAGCAACTGGCCCATGACTTTTCATGATGGCCATTAGATTCAGGCTGACTTAAAAACAGATGCACTTTTGGAAGCATCTTCTGCCAAAATGAACAAGGGGCAACGGGCTGAAGAACTGCAATCACTCTTTGAAGTGTTTTGGAGCAGACTTCAAGTCTCGGGAGCGCCAGCCTATGTTTGGAGATGGAGAAAGATATAATCTCAGAAAACCAGATTTGCTCAAATTAAAAGCCTCTGCAAAACACGCTGGGAGACATTCAGGTTAATTCTTAAGATGACAAAGCCTCCTGACGTGTACAAGATGCCATATCTGCCACCTCCAGCACCGTCGCTCCGGTGCCAGGCGCTCGCATTCCTACTGCCCTGCTCAGATGCAATGACTCAGAGCAAAAGCCAGAAAAGGGTATGTGTGATGATGGACATAAGAGCTGGTATTTCAGCATACCCTCTTCTGCTTGGAGCTGCCAAAGCCTGCACTGTGGGCGGGACGGGCAGAGCTGCACAGGCTGTTAATAAATGCCAGAATGGGTTCTTTCACCTTGCTGCATGGTCAGACACTGCAGCAGCTCACAGGCAGTTTAAACCTAGTGTAAAGCATCCTTTTGGCCTCCTAAAACCTTGGTTAAAACAGCAGCTCTTTGCTCATCCCACCACAACTTTTGTTTAAAAAAAAATTACCAGCTGGCCTTGGTTCTGGAGCTCAATTCTGCAGCTCATCTCTTTGAGCCCAGTGCAGTTCTCAAGGAAGGCACAGGCTGTGGGGGCAGCACCGGCACTTTGGATACATCTCTACGTGCAATCTAAAGGGAAATCTGATACTCCAAAGTACACCTGGAACCCAGCACAGACTGCCAGCAAAGCGGCCCATCACGCTGGAGCTGAGCTCACTCCACTCGTTATTTATTTATAGAGCTGGGCATGTTTGTGCCCAGTGAACCCAAGGCAACCTTACCAACCATCACTCACTGTCATGCTGTTGACAGAGCCCAATGAGGAGAGGAAAAGTTCTCAGATCTCTAAGCCATGCCTTGCTTGGGGTCTTCAGCTGCCCTGCAGGCACTGACGGCTTTGGGACACACGGCAGAGACGCCCTCATGCTGACAGAACCCTTGGTCACAGCACACCAAGGTTTGCTAATGTGTGAGCAAGCATGATTGCAATTCTAGCAATATGTTTTTCATCAGATGCTCCCTGTGCCAAGCTGAGCATTTTCTGGATCGCAGACCCCACCAACTCCACTGAGATCCAGAGAGAGACAAACTCAAAATCCTCTCCTCACCGACCTGTCCAAACCAAACAAACCACAGCCCATATCCCTAACAGCAACTGGCCTTCAACGTCCAACTTGAAACACTTTGACCCAAACAAAAACACAGCATAAAGGCCTCTTGTAATCAGTATAAACACTTCCACCAACGTTTTTGCTTAAAAAAGCCTGCACAAAATAAATAACCACTTCTGGGCTGTGCATCACTCGACATGGAGACTCCAAAAATTAGGAGACGGCAACAGAAACAAAGCAAAGCTCATCGCTTCTGCTGTTGCTTAAGATCACTGGGTGATGGAAACTTGGGTGCAGACAGATCTTAAGGCCAGATTATATGAAATTATATATATATTAGATCTCAACAGCCTCTGAGTTTGCTTTACAGGGATGTAGTCTGATTTACTCCATCACTGCTTCCTAGCAAGCACAGGAAGCATTGTGTGCTCCTGCAGAGAAACCCAGAGAGCATTTTGTGCAGAAAAAAATCACAGTCAGCAGCAAACTATCAGTGCAGCTTTTGGGTCACTAATGTACAAATGCTGTGTTTTTTGACCCCAGTTACTGAGTGCAGGCTCAGATTCTCAGAAGTGAAATCAAAAAGCAGAACTGGAAAGCAAGTGTAAGCACCAAATTCAATGATAGATCTGGTGAGGAATAAAACCCCATAGAGTTTAACAGTGGGCAACCCTTGTCCCACTTCTCCAGCATTAAGCAAACCTATGTAACATCCACAAACATGTTGTTGGTCAACACGACGTTCATAAATCAGCAATTCTGGGTCAACTTCATGTTATTACATCCTCTCCCAATTTTTCATCGGGGACAACGCAGACGGGTGCAAGGTCAATGCGCCCACTGCAGAATTGCTAAAAGCCACCAGTACTTGAAAACAGGATGTTTAAAAGCCGTTTCTCAGCAAAAATCTGGAAAACTCACTGGGTCTGTAAGAGGAGATGCTTCAGAACTGAGCGTGGTGTGTCAGGGTTCCTCCTGGCTTTTTGCATTTCCTTGTGCGTGTTACTTACTCGCACTGACCACAGTCAGCCCACAGGTTCTACAAATGCAAAATTACCACCTATCCCAAAAAGTCTGTACCAGTAAAGCTTGCTGTGATCTTCCCAATAAGAATCTCCAAAATCCAACTGGTTGGAATACGGACGCTCTCAACACTACTGATGAACTCTGCCCTCCCAGTAAAGCGA